TCCATTATTTGCTGTGCGAATGTGCGTCATTGTCTAGTTTAGGTCTACATCCTCCAAGCACCTGTCCTGTACTGTAAGTGATGAACAATATATCGGTAGGGATGAGACAATAAACAATAATATTGTTAATTATGATAAAAAGGGTAGACAGTAATAATTCATGGGACATTTCATATAATCACAATAACAAAATAAACACTGTTTTCTCTTCTAGATCATTGTTGTTTTCACTTATAACAAATCATAATACTACAACAGTTGTTTAAATATGGAACCCATTCATGATATCAAAATTATAATTATTCATATCCATGACATTTTTTACAGCAACTTTGGTAATTTTTGTGATATAATAGTTTATCGCAATTATTTTGGCCATGATAATCCTGACGATGTGTTGTCCCATGTCTTTATATCAGTGCTAATATCAGTATTGTGGTATAGAAGCATATCAGAAACTATTCACTATTGAAAAATTCACTTTATTTTTTCAAATCTGGTCAGTCATGTGAATAGAGACTTAACATGTAAATCGATTAACGCAAATAAGGGCCTGTATTTTTGTACAATCAATATAAAAAGTACAACAAATTATATTATTTTGTCAACTTTCCCCAACTTTAATTTTGGAGGTCTTGCTGTAAATTTAAAAACTTATCGGCGATGACAAGATCAGATTACTGTATTGGCTAGTTTATGCTGTACAGTTAGAAAATATATGCTTAGCTAAATTTTATCTTTCAGAAGTAATCTTTACATTGCCTTTTAAAGTGGTCGATGAAAGCTTCAGGAAAACAAAACATGGGACGTTCTTGAGGACATTTTCTTTGTTATGAAACATGGGGGATTTTCTTCTTTCTCAAACATCTCCAAAGTTTAATAAAAACCATCACTCTTTGGTTCTCTAGAGGTCTCCATTTGGGCTGCTGTGTGCTGGATTCCTCTCAGCCAAAACAGTGACGTGGTTATGGGACCCCAGAGCTGAACACTGAAAACCACCACCATCTGTAGTTGTGTAATAATCTTGGTAATTGTCTCTGTTACTGATCACTGTCAGGTTGTGTCTTAGATTGGAAAGTGCGAAAACTTTCTAGGAAAAAATGACTATTGTATATGTTAAAGATGCACTGTGTAACTTTTTGGCAGGGGGTCGATCACCTGCTTGTTTCTATGGAGATATAACGGCTCTGCCTGGAATGTTCCACTGTGTTTAAACAGCTCTACTTTACCAATTATAGGTGCCCAAATATGCTTAGAAATACATTTTGAGCGGGGTTGCCTCTCCATAGATCTGACTTGTAACTTCTCTGGTTTGGTTTCCATGAAAATAGAAGGGTGTAATGCCATTCTGAAAAACAAGACAATAAAATGCCTGAAAAAAAAAAAAAAAAAAAAACATATGGGGCGGACCCTGCACCAGAAAAGTTACACAATGCATCTGTAATTCACAAGTTGGTCCAAAGCATTTCAAAGTTGCAGCTCACACTAGATATATTTTAAATACTGATCTGCATTGCACAAGTTACTAAAATGTAATGACATCAACCAATCTAAGGTTAACCAAGGATATTTGAGTCACTTATTGACAGATATTGTTTATATATATATATATATATATATATATATATATACACACACACATTTATAAATCCAAAGTCATTTTTCAATAAATTATCATATTAAATTTTTGAGGTACAGAGTGTTCCCCAATTGAATGTATTCATAAAATGTGTTTGTTTGTAGGCTTTTGAGAGTTGCCTGAATTTAACCTCTGAATCAATATTAATGTTTAAACAATGGTAGCTGTGTCCTTATATGACTTTCCAATACTGACTAAGTGTTAACACAGAAACTCAATACTTCACCCACGAACATCTCATTCTTCCTTCCTTCCTGATCACATGATAGTTTAACTGATGAAAATCTTGCTTAGTGTTTTAAGTTATAAAACGTGACTTGACTGCTTTGAAATAGGGCTTAATAGCTGCAGATGGGAGCCCTGTAGTTGAGTTTCTTTAGGTCTTGATTACTGTAGGAAACTGCCTTTGGGTGTCAATGTGGTAATGAAAGGGTGCTAGATAAGCCTTTATAAAGCAGGCGCTAATGAAAGGGGACTAGATACCCACAATGCTATTCTGTCTTTTATAATCAGAGACCCCTCCTCAAGTCTCGTTTGTAGGTGATGAGAGGTAGTGTCAGTGAGTAAGACTATCTATTGAAGCTGCATTATATTGTACAAGAGTTAAATATAATAAGATTTTACATTTTTAAAAATTGCCTGCAATGTGTAGGAATGTAAAATTTAAACCAAAACTACATCAGGACTAAAACAATCAGGACTTAATCTTGTATCAGGACTCACTAAACCTGTTTTATGCAACATTTTGAGGACTTTTCCCATTCAAAATATATAGTAGTTTAAAATTGTTAATCGCTACAGCAACAGTCCTAATTTCTCATCATTATGAAACCAATGGATACTAGTTCCAGCATAAATCTACTTTGAAGCCTAGTCTCTAAACATGACAAAACCAGTGCTATTTTATTATAAAACTTTGGTCTGTCCATTTTGGGTTTCTAATTGGGCAATTATTTTGACAGCCTCCCCCTTAAACCCACAAACACATTAGCAAACAACAAAAGACTAGATAATCTTAGTGGGACCATTAGCTAATTATGTCCTGTCCGTAAAGCTCTGGTTTAGTGAATGAGTCACCGGCTGCTTGTTGTTGTAGGGTATGTTTACAAAAGGGCCAGACCGCCGTTCCTGTCCTGGACTAGACAGCGTTTTTTTGTAAAGGAGTAACCCTACACTTTTCTTCCTCTACTATACTGCGCCATTACAGCCAATCAGAATGCGGCGTGGGTGGGGCTAAGTCCAAGGGCTTGTGTGTGCATCTGTGTGTGTGTGTGTGTGTGTGTCTCAGGGCTTAGAGCCAAAACAGCCTCTCTGTAGTGGAGGAGAGTTACATAAGTGAATGGAAGAATGTTTCCCCTGCTTCTTTGGGATTGTTGCTCACCTTCTGTCTAATACGATTTATCTGAATGTGAAGAATATACCAAAAATGTACCTGTTATTATAATAATGCTTTTTAGTAGGCCTAAGTGTTTGTGTTTTCTGTACTTGTTTTAGAATGTATGTGAATTTTATAATGTGATAGATTTTTGTGTGAAAATAAGGCTTTGGAAAACTATATTCGTGATAAAAAATTTTGTTGTAGTTCTTCACATTTAAAACTCATAGGTTAACTAATATAAGAGTAACATGCATTTTAGAACATGCTTGTAGAGGTCGAAATAGTAGTTAAATTTACAGCCAATAAGACGTTATATTTTGTTTGCAGAAGATATTATGTTAATGTCATGGCATTCTTTTCCAGTCCATTCACTTAAATTCACAAAAATTATCCCAAATGAGGAATTCAGTTTGTAGTTCTCTGGTCATGATAGAAATATAAACATCCAACATAAACTAAATTAGGAGAAAGTATAGGATTAACTTAAAGGTCCTCTTATGAGCTTTAAGCCACATTAGAATAATATTACCTCATCAAAATATGCAGACTATGAAACAAAATACAGCTCCAGATATGTTTGTGATGAGGAAATGTTATAGCATGGATCATAATATAGCATAATATAGACCCTTTGAATAATTATAATCAACCTTATTCAGTCAGGGTTGAGGTTAGGGTTAGAGTTCAGGCTAAGCTGCCAATCACTCATCATATGTTTTCATGTTGCTTTCACCGACCTTTCCTAAACTTTGACCTCACCTTGCTCTCTTCATTCTCATATCCCTCCATAAATCTGTCTATCATCACATTCCCAAGTGTCTGTAACCGGAACAGAAAGGCAGAGCTACGCCGAGTGTCTGCTCAGATGAGAGCAGCTCTTATCGGGCAGGTCAGTCATGTGGAAAGCCCTGACCGTGGCCTTCGTACTGGAGGTGCTAATGAAAGAAGACAACTACCCACAATGCTGTTCTCTAAATGTCTTTAATAATCAGCAGGCCTCTCTGTAAGACGTTAGAAAAATACAGTTTCAAGGTTACAGTAAAAAAGTGTCTGAAAACACCAGATGTAATCAAATAGTGCAAACCAAGGACTAAGCTAGGACTGTGTGGGTTGAGAAGTAATTAAATACATGTACTGAAAATATGTATGTTTTTTTTATATATATATTCTGGTATGGTTGCTCTTTTACTTAGTAGTAATAAAACAATTTAGATTTTGACGGCATCATTATGAAAAATAGAAAACAGGCTCCTGTTGAGATTACAGGTGCAATTGTCCATTCTCTAATTCTCAGTGATAAATAAAAACTTACACATTGCAATAACCACAAAATTTTTTTTACATAATATAATGTAACGTAATGTGAAAGTATTCAGAATACAGTAGTCTACTGGACCATGTAACTCAAAATATATCATAAAGCAGGTATTCAATAAATGTTTTTTGGAACGGTTTCTTCCCAATGCTGACTATAGTTGGACCTAAAATCAACTTGAAAACCAGAGGTGCAAGTTTCAACCACGTCATGCAGTACAATAATAACAAAAGTAGGAGATGAGGAGGAGAAAGGACTTGCTCAGGCATCACAACAAACGCGCTCTTGTTCTTTAAAGGGCCTCATTTGCTTGGGACAGTGTGGCTCTAGTCCTGGGGTTGAGGGCTGAGCCAGCAAATGGAGCTGAAATGAATTGTGAGGTGTTCGCATTCAGCCAGTGAGAGGCAGTGAAGTGAAATTAACAGAGTTACCCGGGGATAATGGCCCGGCCGTGTCTGACGTGACTGCCCACTCCACACTGCACTGAGGAAGGGCTATTTCAGTAAACACCATTACGACACATTATATCACTGATGTTCGGCTCGTTTGGCAGTAACGGGAAAAATGGCCTCATCTTTGGATGAATTTTAGTACAAAGAAAATGTACACTTGTGTTGTTTGATTCAAAGTGAATATGAGTATTAAACAGTCCCTTATGTGTGTTGCAGTTGGCGTGCTGAGGAGCGTGTTTCAGAGCCCGCGATGTGGATGTGCTTGGTTTACAATGAGACAGACTCCAGTGTGGACCAGCAGCTGTGCCAGGACCTCGGCCTCCTCCTCTCCATTCTCTCCCTCTTCTACCTCCTGGTGTGCTTCCCCCTGGGGCTGTGCTACAATGTGCTGCTGGTAGTGGTGAACCTGTCCAATAAGGTCTCCATGACGATGCCGGATGTTTACTTCGTCAACATGGCCATCGCAGGGCTGGTGCTCAACGTGGTCTCTCCAGTGGAGCTGCTGAGCTCCAGCTTCAGTCGCTGGTTTGTTTGGGACTTCAATAACGAGGTGTACATCACTCTACTGATCCTGTTCAACATCTCCTCACTGGTCATCATGTACTCAACCACACTGCTCAGTCTGGACTACTACATAGAGCGGGCGCTGCCTCGGACATACATGTCCAGTGTCTACAACACGAAACACGTGTGTGGATTCATTTGGGGCGGGGCTGTGCTCACCAGCTTCTCCTCTCTGCTCTTCTACGTCTGCAACCATGTCTCCACCAAGATGATCGAGTGCTCCAAAATGCAGAACAAGGAGGCAGCGGATGCTATCATGATGTTTATTGGTTACGTGGTCCCAGCTGTGGCAGTGCTTTATGCTTTTGTGCTCATTTTACGGATTCGTAAAGAGTCCACTCCTCTGGACCAGGACTCTGCTCGTCTGGACCCTTCTATCCACAGACTGCTGCTGGCCTCTGTGTGTGTGCAGTTTGTGCTGTGGACCCCGTACTACATGACTCTCTTAGTGCACACTATAGCAGGAAGCCCAGGCTCCTTCAGTAACAGACACAACTATCCCACCTATCACTTCCTCAGATGTGTGGCCAAGCTGCTGGCCTTCTCCAGCAGTTTTGCCATGCCTCTCATGTACCGACAAATGAATAAAAACTTCTCCAACAAGCTCCAGAGGCTGCTGCGGAGACTGCACTGCTCCGACCAGTCATGTCCACATGAACGCTCTGCGGTGCAGCAGGTGGTGACGTGAGCTCACCCACTGGGAGACCCTCTGACCCCAGCAGCACTTATCTTTGCTCCAGAGCCGCAGTCCATTGGACCCCTGCCAGCCTGTAGAGCCCAGCTCTGGGCTGTGTTACAGCGACAGCGACTGTGGAATTTCCTGTCACCTTTAAGAGCTCCATGTGATCAGTGCAGCTCTGAGGACACAAGCTAAACCACTAAGTGCTATTATGTTTGTTACCAACTAAAGCTAAACACACTAGGGCTCTAGTTTGAGGGCATTAGGTACAAACCGCAGCTAACCATGAAGGAACATGCTTTTAACCAGGACTCCCTATCAGAGTATCAGCTTACTGGTGAAGGCATGTCTAATGTATACCATTTAGGTTTGCATGTTTACTAGAGCATGGCCACCAGGCACTGTTGCAACTACAGGATTATTATGAATACTTGAAGAATGAAGTTCATAATCGCATAAATAAATATAAAAAGTAAATTTCATATGCTTGATTTTTAAATCATTTGAGAAAAAGTCCCCTCAAACTAGATACCTGTATCACTTGAATAAACATTTTGGTGTATTCATGTTTTGATGATAACCTGTGTTTAAATTAATACATTGACAGTGAGGTTCTATTTTAATGGCCTTTTTTAATTTGTAAATTATGGTAGCTCACCATCACTCATGAACATTCAACAATATTTTCAGTCAGGTTTTCAGCTATAACTGCTATACCTCTTATGGTTTCTGCTGATATTACATGTATTTAAGCTTTTCAGCCATAGTCATTGCTTTTAACTGTGGTGTGGAGTCTATGCTGTGAGAAGAAGAGACACGTTGTACATTCCCCACATAGTAAAAGTGTTTGGGAAGGTTTTGTCCAGTGGAAATATGTCAACCAGCTCAGACACTGTCACAGAGCTTCACTCAAATATGAGAGGATTGCCTTTCAAGTTCCCACCAAAACATAGTAATACTGCACGCTTGTGTAATGGCTGAATTAGAGACTCCTTCTCCAGATTGTTGTCATTAAAGGGCCCATATTATGCTGATCTATGTTACAATGTTGTTCTCTCATCACCAACATACATGGAGTTTTTGCATGGAGTGTTTTCTTTCATTCTCACATTTAACATACAAATCCTGCATATTTAGGCTGAGTTTATTTCTTAAACCGAAAACACTGGTGGTAATACAGGGTGGTAGTGCAATTCTCTGTGTTTTTAAACTCTATACACCTTCATCAGAAACCTTTGAATAATTTCAACCCAGAAATTGCCCATCTCTGCTGAAGTAATGGTGAAAGATGGCACCTAATTTGAAAACATGACTTCACGATATCACAAAGTGGAACAGCATTTTGAGCTGTGGAAATGTATACAGACTAATAGTGAAGGGTTACCCCGACACATGTGAATGAAACAAAACACCTCCACATGTTTTGAGGAGGTAACATTATAACATGACTTAAAGCACACATTTTACATAAGAAAAAGAAGTGTAACTTGAACTATGCATGTTTCTTGGGATTGGCTGTCTCATTTACATTTAAAGCTTTAGCCCAGTTTATTTTGTCTGTATCAATTTAATACATTTTTAACAGTGACCCCTTTGTATTTTTGTTTAAACATCTGTCATATCCTACTGTATTTGCTGCTCCAGAAATCAGTGCATTTGAGGCAGTTAATCATTACTTGGTGCCAGCTCAAAGTCCTGGTATTTGTTTAGGATTTGAATGCAAACAGTGGCAGCGGGTCAAACATTAGATGAGGGAAATGACGCTATTTGATCATATAAGCTGAAAATCCCACTTCAAATATCTCTCGTATCACTCTATATAGCCACCAGTAAAGTATGCGGCTAAAATGGTAAAAGTGCATTCATGTCAGTTCAGAATATTGTTAAAAAATTGGTTTATTTCAGGCATTTATTGTAACATTTAATAAATTATTCTTTGCATTTTTAAATCTTGATCCTTGCTAAAAATTCAAAATGCATTCTTCATACTGAACTAAATTACTGAAATACCCCATGATTTTTATGGAAATGTTTATGCATGAAATTATAATATTAGTACATACAACACAAATTTGAAGGACAATCACTTAAAACTATGCTAGTGTCTTTATAACCAAGTGGAATATCTCTAAGGTCTAAAGTACACCGAAACTTCCCTTTTAACCTTCTCAGAGTTGTCCATCTTTTATAATTAATTTTTTGGCTGCAGTAATTAAAAGCTTCTCCCACAAATGAACTGCACGATATCCATGACTTACTAATGAAGCCAGATGAAGAAACTTGTACCAAAAACAGCTCGTGTTACTGTCCGTGAATAGAATGGTCTTTTCCATGGGGCCCTACATCCTTCGCCTCTAAGTGGGTTGATAATGACGATGAAATACTGTAAAACTTCCCAGACGCAAGCTATTATTCGAAAACCTCAAGAATCAGACGCACCTTCAGATGTGATGGCTGGGTGCATGTGTGTAAAATACAAAGTAATGTGTATATATTGTATGTGAATAATGGTCCTACAGAGGCCAAGCTCTTTCAAAAAGTACAGTGTTATTTCATGAGAGATATATTTAGATTCTGTAAGTAATCAACTGTCACGTGAGTCAAAGACTGAATAAACAATAAACTAACGTGAAAATCAATGCTGCGACTTCCTTGTTTTTTGTTATGATAATGTTGAATCACAATGAATAATTTTTAAAGGTGCCCTGTGTAAGATTTCTAGTGGGTCTCCATAGAAATGTTATTGCTTTGTCCAGATTGCTCAGTATTAGTAGTAATACAGTATTGAATTTTTGAGCAGTAGGAACACCTGTAATGAATAAATGCTAGATGAAAATGTTTAAAGCCATATGGAACATTTCAGGCAAAGCAATAGCATCTCCATGGAGACAAGCAGGTGGCGAACCCTCCACCTGAAAAGTTGCGAGATGCACCTTTAAGAATGACTGACAAACAGTGATGAAAAGAATACTTTGAAAATGTATTTAGTTACAGAACACTAAATATCAGAATTAAAATATATTTTGTATGCTATTTCAATCAGAGTCCATATATTTTGAATACTCAGAATACTTACATATTATAGTGTAAAAAACATAATAAGTGTTTTGTTTTCTTATGCATTAATTTATCACCAATTAGAGAAGAAAACTCACACATGCACACAAGAGCTGTTTTGTTTATTCTCACTAATAGCGTATGTACATTTCAAAGTCAAAATTGCAAGATGAAGTACTGCCATGTATTCCTTTTAATTTGGGAACGTAACTATATTCTGGATACCACCAAATTAAATAAGTATTTTCGGTACATGTAGTCATTTACTTCCCAACACTGCTGACAAAAAACTGGTCATTCTCACAGTGTTTTAATATACTTTCTGTAGTTGGTATATTTAACCCTATATGTGTTGAAAAACAGATTCCTCCTGCATTCAGATATAACAATGAGCTCTACCTAGACTACCTCACAACTGTATTTCATCACATCTCAACACAGCTTTTATCTGTATATTACCAATTTAGGGGTAAAAATTAAAGAAATATAGGTAGTTACCAGGCTTATACGTTTAATACCACCACACTCTGCTGGTCTAGAAAAATTAACAATAAAGATCTGAAAACCATGAAACATATTGCTTTGTGTATGCTTATTCTTTTGCACCCAGACTAAACCAGAGACACAGGCTATTGTGTGGAGTCTGCTGACATGCATGTTTAATGGATGCCACCATGTTGTGTAGTGGTACATAGGCAGATTGCTTTGCGGCGAAGCCCTGTGACCACGCCATTCAGACTGGGAAAAAATAGCGGCATTCCTCACATTCTGGGGATTGTTTAGTCTTCACTGCTTCTAACAATCCGATATTGTTGTAGTTTCCAGGAAAAACAATGCAGTATGGGCCACATCTGATAATAAAGCTATACGCAGAGATAAACAGCAAGTTCATTTTGTACAGAGTGGAGATGTGGGAGTGAGATTGAGTGGTAAAGACTTTTAATTTGGAGTTTGGTGAAGAAATGTACAGGCAATTCTCCATATGAATTATACAGTATGTAGGCCTACAAACCAACTACACTTAAGGCTACACTTGGGGGTACACTTAAAACCGTGTTGATTCAAAAAGCCATATTAATTTGTCAGTCCAGCTTCCATTAAACCTACCTTTGCATGGTAAAGTATATTAACACTTTGCAGCTGATATCATCAACATGCCTTGGGGGGGGGGTGTGACGTTAACTGTAGGCACTGCTCTGTCTGAAGCTCTGTTACTCAAATTAGACTTTAATCCCAGTTTTGTTTTAACACAATCTCACTGTAAATAACTAAGTTGATTGGAACTACAACAGGTGAGCTAGCAGTTAACTGTTGTAATGAGTAGTTATTTTACTGTCGCAGTAATGTTGTGGTAATGTGGCAATTGCAATAGTTACTGCCATTGTTAGTCATGATAACCGCTCAGTAGTTTATCAAGCAAATGTGGTATTTCTATTTGTTTCATAATACAACCTAACCTTTTTTTATTTCAGCCCATCACAATCTGGTTTAACATTAAAATAACTGCACAACATAAAATGTGTTTGCAACAAATTATGAGTCAGAAATAAGAGAAAGCTGGCAGAAAATAATGTTTTTCAGGGGGCTTATATGTAGGCTATTGCACATCTGGAGTTGATAATGACATTATAATGAAGTCAGTAGTATAGAGATTAGCCTTACGTGTTAAAATGCTTAACCACACATTTTTTTGTTCTTTTTGTGTACTCAATCCCTGCATACTCTAAATGAGATAAGATCAAAATAATACCTTGTGTATTTAAATATGCATTATTTTACTTTACTGGTGGGAGGTCTCATGGAGATGTAATTGCTTTCCCAGGAATGTTCCACGGTATGGCATTTATATATCTTGCTTTTTTCAGTCACAAATGTTTTTAATATCCTGAAAAAACATGCATTCAAACAGTAAGCAGAGGTGCCTCTCCATAGTTCTTACCTGTAATTTGGCCAACCAATCACCTGCATGTCTACATAGAGATAACTTGAATGTCATACCGTGAAACATTTCAAGAAACATAATAAAACCCAGTGGAGACAAGCAGATGGCAGACACTCCAGCAGAAAAGTTACACAGCACACCTTTAACAGCATAGTCCTCTCTCGAGCGTGCCCCATTTATACTAACCATGTTTTTCTTAAGCAGAACTTCACGCCAGACCAAAACTATGAGTCTGGTCTGGTCCCGTGTTCAGTAGACCACCTACAGCACAGCGCACTGGGCTGCTGGCAGGACGCTTGGATTGTGGTTTTCAATATTTGATTTGGCTGTTGCACAAGTTTCACACAAAGGCTAAGACCACCAGTGTTTTTCCTGATGTGGGTCAAGTTAGGCTGTTACATGTAAGCACCAGAACAAGGTAAAATGTGAGCAAGGAAATGAAATAGTGTTTAAGTTACACAGTTCAGGCCAAGAGGACGTGAGTCTCAACAAACGTGATAATTTAAGGGAAATGAAGCACAGAGGAAACTGAATTTGGGGGTAAAATATGAACAGGAGGTGTTGAACAAACTGTGATAGCTTAGCATATTGAATACAGTATAGCTGATTTTATGATTGTTTCAGTTAGAAATAGTGACATTTCAAAGTCAGCTATTAAAAAAATACTCCAGAAAATGTTTTTTGTAAGAAAGTACTTTTTCATCAGCTCAACTACATCAACTTGTGAAACAGGGGGCCACTAAAGATTAAAGGGCTCATGTTATGTGATTTTCTGATCTCTGTTATAATTTTGTTTCCTCATCACAAATACTCTTTTCTCAAACAAAAAACACTCTGTTCCACCTTGTGATGTCATGTGGTATACAGGAAGTGCTCCACTGTGTTTTTAAACTTCATACACCTTCACTAGAATCATTTAGATAATTTCAGACTTAGAATTGTCCATTTTTATTGCACTGAAGGTCAAAAGTAGTTGTTAAGTGAAAACTTGGTATCACAAGGTGGAACAGCACTTTAAGCTCTGGAGATATAGACAGACAAATAATAGGGTCAAGGGTTACTCTAACAATTCGAACATGTGTGGATAAAACAAAACACAACTCCAGTTATGTTTTTGGGACATCAGTTTTGTGTATTATAAGACCTTTAAAACTTCACAGTTCCTATGCATAATTTATAGACCCACTTGTTGCACTGGCCATCAATACTACGAGTTGAGATGCACTTAATGTAAGAAATGTTTTTATAACATATATAGGTTATAGCTATTTTCACTTGATTTTTTCACTTTCAATTTAGACCTGGTTTAGCCCTTATCTAGACCTGATATAGGCTAGTTCGGGTTTAGATCTGATAGTACTTCGAAAGCCAAATATTATCTTGGGTGGAAAATATTTCAATCTATTATGAATTATATAAAATGACAAAATGACATCTGTGAGATTACACTATTCCATATTAAATCTTTGAATAAAACTAGCGCTGGTGCCAGTTCCTATGGTCTTGAAATGATAAAATAACTGAAAACATTTCTGACATCAGAGTGGAGCAGTGCAGTTGGACAACAGTCTGTGGTTACTGCTTTTGGGTGGTGGAGATTTCACCACCTCACCAGTTCAACCACACCAGCTCCATTAACAACACCGCCAATGCTATTTTATGAGACCGGGGAGACTTGTTTTTGAAGAAAGACTAAATTAGAGTATTGCAAAAAGAAAAGTACGATAAAATGACAATCAACATAAATACACCGATCTGTCACATAACAAGATGGAGATGGAAAAGGTCAAAAAAAAAAAAAAAAAAAAAAAAAAAAAGGAAAAGAAAAAGAAAACAAATAAAGATTTTCATTCATTAATCTCAGATAATGTCTATGCTAGAGTCTAGAAGTATCTCACAGGATCCACCTGTATGCCAAGCTCTAATCTTTATGTTAGTCCGCCACCCAGTGTACATAAGTGGAATTGCGTCGCAACGCTCAAACCCATGCACTGCATTTGCTGTCGTACTGGAGAGTGAACTCAACTGTGAAAACTAAATCATTGGCCCGAATATAGGTTATCTCATTTGTAATAAATCCCCCTTAGAGTTATGTCCTTCATAGAAAAGGTTCTTATAAACTGGAAGAAATTTAAACCACAATTTAATTTAATTTTAAATATACATTATTAATTATCTATCAAATAATTAACAATTTATTTTTACTCACAAATGTAAAATCTGAGATGACAATGTCTGCAACCAAGACCAGAGTAAATAGCTGTAAGGGATCTGGCTGCAGACCTGCACCCAGACGACCCAACCCGCTGACCTCGAGGACCCTCATGTGACTCACCTCCATCCACAGGTCTGTAAAAGAAAACAAACAGCGGCCATACCAAAGGGCCATCAAAAGTCCACTGATTGAGGGCCACTGTTTTCAGTGTTATGTTACAAAAGTTGACATTGTTTTACACTAAGACAAGCCCAACCCTTTTTCCTAACCTTAACCATTATAGAGTTGTGCCTAATCTAAACCAGACACAAGGCCTACTACAACACATTCAAGGACAAAATGGCTATGTTATTTGTATTTATGTATCTGACATGATGACAATTAAATTTGCTTGTTTAAACTGCCAATTTACCTATGCAAGCAGAGTAGAACACAACACATTCAAATCAGGACACTTCTAGAAATGAAGGCTAGATTAAATGTACAATCTTTGAAGTGCTAATAAAGTGCAAACATTTAATTGAGCTTTTAGTAACATTTAACAGTGAGTAAATACTACTAAGCGTAAATTTATGAAAATGGCAAGGGACATGGGTTCTGGTGGTGCATCTTGGTGGAGGTCTGTGGTGTAGGGTCTGTAGACTCTCTTGGAATAGTTTGATGTAACACTATAGGGGTAATAATGGACTCAGACTTGAACTTTAACAGTCACATAAAATCAATAACATCTGCAGCCTTTTACCATCTAAAAACATAGCAAAAATCAAAGGTTTACTGTCTAAATCAGACTTAGAGAAACTTATCCATGCATTTGTCTCCAGTAGGTTAGACTACTGTAATGGTCTGCTCACTGGTCTCTCCAAACGAGCTGTGAGACGCTGCAGAACATCCAGAACGCTGCAGCTCGGGTCCTTACTCGAACTAGGAAGTACGAGCACATAAGTCCTGTGCTCAGGTCTCTGCACTGGCTTCCTGTGCCTCAGAGAATAGACTTTAAAGCAGCTCTGCTTGTGTACAAGTCTCTCCATGGCCGAGCACCAAAGTACATCTGTGACATGTTAGTGTCATATGAACCATCTCGCACTCTGAGGACCTCAGGGACCAGCCTCCTGCTGGTGCCCAGAGTCAGGAACTAAACAAGGGGAGTCAGCGTTTCAGGTTCATGCAGCTAAAACCTGGAACAGTCTTCCTGAACATGTGAGACAGGCCTCTTCTGTGACGCTGTTTAAATCCAGACTCAAAACATTTCTGTTTAACTGTGCATATAACTGAAAGGTTTTCATTCCGCACTCTTCTCTCTTTTTTAATTTTAATCTTCATGATTATTTATGTTTTGATTTGTTTTTATTATGATTTTAATGTATTTCTTATTCTGTAAAGCACTTTGAATTACTTTGTGTACGAATTGTGCTATACAAATAAACTTGCCTTGCCTTGCCTTGCCTATAGCCCCCTACTGTACATGCGGCTGCAGGCAACCACCTGCCTCATTGTCTGTGTTCATGGCTATAATCATTATAATATCAGACTACTGTCATCTTTCAAAATGACATAAATGAATGATCCTGCTATATCATGTAGGCTATATGCTACATTTTAAAGAGGTTACACTAGCACAGAGGACTGTATAGCATTTTTTCCCCAAGACTAAATATATGGGTACATTTGTAATTATCATATTTGCAGGGCCTGTCTAATTGTGCTTGGTATAACAGTTACAGTTACTGTTTTTAGTGGCTGTAGACTAGTATGCTATCTGATGCTGCTGCTTAGATTTTTACACCAGTGTACAAAACCCTTATGTGACTGTTTAGGACCAGGACTCAGCCATGATCATCAATTTGGTACAGTAGGTAGCACATTGAGATATGTTAGGCTATACTACACCATCTGTACAGTTCTTGACCAAACAGCAAATACCTTATATACACCATGTTGATTTTCTTTAAAATTAAATAATATTCACCCACATTAGAGATGTGCATGCAGACAGACCACCCTTTATTTAACCCAGTGGTTCTTATAGCCCTGTTTTTGTGCTGTGAGCCGTATTACTCTGTATTATGTAGATGTGCCTGTGCCCCCAGTGCACTGCAGGGTCTGTTCTGTTTCCTCCTTATTGGCTTTGATGATCAAGCCCGCGGTCAGGTCAGGATTTTAGACTTCATGTTATTTAAAAATCCATTATATTGATTTCATTTTAACTTCATTTTAATTAAATTACATTCTGGATATCTTAGTATGCCTTCATATTAATTAATATAATTAAGAAATACAACAATTAGTGAATGCATGCCCATTAGAAAATATGTCAAAAATAACCTTACATTAGTATAAATGACAAATGGAAAACTATGATTATTTGTTTTACTGAAATGCCTAAAGTTTATAGTTTAATTTCAGTCTAAGTATGCAAGTATATTTAAGTTTAAGTATATTTTAAGATGCATTACTAGTGAATGCTTGTGTTCTCAATTTATTTTGTCTTATTTGTTTTTTCAATAAAAACAATTGTAGCTGAACAACCTGCACCACATATATGACATAGTGCACATATGGTGTACAGCAGCACGCTAGCTCACTGTGTCTCAAAGATAACTCTCTTTTATTAAAATTGTAAAACATAATTTTTTTTAATTTTTTTATTTTTTTATAGAAATTCAAATGGATTGAAATAAAAGATCTCCATTTATTGTTATATGTAGAATATTTCAATTTGTGGTATTGTTCTAAAATGTATGAAGCCTCAAAATCAGCATTAGCATTGAAACAAACATCTCTCTTTCTAAACACAGACGTGTTCTCTGCTGTATTCAGCACAAATTTGTTTGTTTTGTTTGTGTACTTTTAACATGTTGTTATGACATCCACCTGCAGCTCTCTGTTCACTGCCTTATCTTTAAATATTTCTTTATTTTAGCACAACTCAGCAAAAACTACATAGAGATAAAATTTGTCAGGAAGTAGTGAGGTTGCTAGACGTTATCAAGAATGCAGCCAATTGATCTGAACATTTTGCTGTATTTGTGATTGTTGCTAATTTGACATTAGTGCATTGTCTATCATTGTCTTTTCTTTAAAGTGAGGCGTTAATTAGAAGTAATCATGTTATCATGATATATTAGATATATTAGACAGATAAGCGTGTCACTGCAGTACCAGACCTATCCTCCCTCCCTCGCTCCCTCCCTCACCTCCCTCTACTGTCCAGACAGGGGTAGGTCAAACAACAGCAGGTGGAGTAGAAGAAATGGTTTGGGATTTACACATGTTTGAGTACAGCCGAACAGACAAGAGCACTGACGGTTATGAGGTAAGATTTTTTTTTTTTTTTACTATTTTAGATTTCTTATTATTCTGCAGTTATTTCATTTATTTGAATTCTTGCAAAGTATAAATAAAAACAGCTGCTAAATAATATGCATTTATTTGAGTCAAAGTACTACTTTCAAGAGGCCATGACCTTTGGGGTTGTACTGGAAACTGGTTATGCCTCATAAATATAAATGTTTAATATAGTGTGTATCTTCCAAAATGTATTGTATTGATGTATTCCTATCGAGTTATTCAATTCTTTTCTTATGTGTGACAAAATGCTCAAATTGCATTGTCCCTTGTTTCTAGGAAAAATAGCAGAATACAGAGACTGTTTCCAAATGCCAAAGTTTAAGCACAATTGTCAGATTTAGACAAGAAAGCAGAAGTACTGATTGTGTAATACTCTTGTATTACACAATCAGTACTTCTGCTTTCTTGTCTAAGACAGAATATTTTAGAATTTTAATTTTAGTTTTATAAGTTACACTGTTTTTTGAAGACACTTTTCAATCTACATGCATGATACTTATGTTGATAAATATGGGCTTTTACAGTCATATGCATACATTGTGGGGATAGTAAGTTCACACAGGGTATATTTAATGTTAATGACATCCTTTACTGTCAATATTCATAAAGTGAGAGCAGAGAGTAAAGTAAGTTTGGATTGGCGGAGGATTTCAGGGGAATTTCAATGCATCTACTTAAACGTGACCATTGAATGTTAATGTGCAGCCAGGCAGTACCACTGTGTAAATGACGAGTGGATGGTTAAATAACTATAACATGACTTGACTGCACTGTGTTATGTATAACATATTTCTTGTGTATGTTTCCGCTCTTGTCTTACAGCGTGCTGTTCATTCTACAGCATATCCAGTTGTGTTGCTGAATAAATATGCACCCACACTTGGAGCAAGATACAAGTCAAACCAGGGCACTAAAGGCAGGAATCTCCACTCAGTCTTGACCATGTGACTCTAAGATTTTGAGGACACCATGTTCTTTAACAATGGAAATGTTTTGTTTGGGACCTAAAAGAAGATGAATGACACCATGAGGCCATGACTTTAGGACTGATCTGACATCAGTCAGCATGAGCCCTGTGCATTGATGAATCTGCAGTGTTTGTGCCATGGCTGGGAGCTAACAGGATTTAAGGATGTAGACGTGTTTTCTGACACGGGACAGCCTGAGAACCTCCATTATGGAAGAGCAGGTCACAGCTCTGCTCTGGATACATGCTAACAGTACACAGTATGTAAATACCACAGAGGAGTACAACACCACAGAGGTGACTGAGGACCCTGACAAATACCAGGCCTACATTATCGGCCTCTTCCTGTCATGTCTCTACACTGTCCTGCTGTTTCCTATTGGATTTATTGGGAACATCTTAATCCTCGTGGTCAATCTGAACCACAGAGAGAAGATGACCATCCCAGACCTGTACTTTGTAAACCTGGCAGTAGCTGACCTTATCTTAGTGGCAGACTCCCTTATCGAGGTTTTCAACCTGAATGAGAAGTATTACGACTATGCTGTGTTGTGCACCTTCATGTCCCTATTTTTGCAGGTCAACATGTACAGCAGTATCTTCTTCCTCACCTGGATGAGTTTTGACCGTTACGTGGCGTTAGCCAGCTCAGTGAACAGCAGCCCTCTAAGGACTATGCAGCACGCCAAAATGAGCTGTAGCCTCATATGGATGGCGTCCATCTTGGCCACACTGCTGCCCTTTACCATAGTGCAGACCCAGCACCGAGGGGAGCTCCACTTCTGCTTTGCTAACGTGTTTGAGATCCAGTGGCTGGAGGTCACCATTGGCTTTTTGGTGCCCTTCTCCATTATTGGCCTGTGCTACTCTCTGATTGGCCGAATCCTGATGAAATCCCAAAAGCACCGTGGACTGTGGCCAAGGCGACAGAAAGCCCTGCGTATGATTGTGGTAGCTGTGCTGGTCTTCTTCATTTGCTGGCTGCCAGAAAACGTATTCATCAGTATCCAGCTGCTGCAGGGTACTGCAGACCCAGCATACAGGACTGACGCCCCCTTGTGGCACGACTATCCCCTCACAGGGCATATCGTCAACCTGGCAGCCTTCTCCAACAGCTGCCTTAACCCCATCATCTACAGCTTCCTGGGTGAAACTTTCAGGGACAAGCTGAGGCTCTTTGTCAAGCAGAAGGCTGACTGGTCTGTGGTCAACCGTGTCTGCAGAAACAGTTTGAACTTACGCCTGTCAGTCCCAAGCGACGTGACCCAGGTGTGACCTCCACAGCTCCATGAACAAAAACAAAACAATAATGCTCTTAATTATTACCTTTCTGTATCTGCACATTTGATGTCTTATTGTATGTGTCTGTTACTTCAACAAGAAGGGTATGTTAATGTTAATAAAAGCTTATGAGAAAAAAATGCACTGTACATAACATATGCATATGTTGATTTGCCTGTGTTTTTCAACTTAGGAAAGTCCAAATTTATCTTTTTAAAGTTGTACTCTTTAACATTTCAGGTGAGGTCCTGCTACCTGTGTGTCTCTTGAGATGTTATTGATTTGCTTAGTGCTGTTCCACAGTATGGCATTATTCTTACTGTGACAGTAGTTGCCTCTCCTTAGATCTGACCTGAAACTTGGCCATCACCTTGTCTCCATGGAGATAGTTAAGTTGTATGCCATACTGTGGAACATTCCAGGTAAAGCAGTATCATCTCCACAAAATAAGCAGATGGCGGACCCTCCATCAGAAAAATTACAGAGTGCACATTTAAACAAACAGTAGTCATGCATTACTGTTGAAAGGGTTCACTCACAGTGGTGATACAGGACACAGGAAACATGTGAAGTGTTGTTGGATTTTTGTTATATATTTTGCAGAGTTCAACAGATGGCAGATGTTTTTAGATTGGTATTAAAGTGTAGCACGGGTGTCTTATTGCCCCCATAATGTGTCCACTCTTGTTAGGATGATGGTATAGCAAGAGCCAGGTGCTGGTGGGGACCAAGCAAGGTAAACACATCACTTAGTATTAAATGGCCTTTTGTCAATGTTAATATTTACCAGTGAATGGCAAAGCAAATTGTCAAAAGATTTAGGGCACACAAGAGAAGAAGAGATGAATTGGTATAAAAAAAACACTTACCAAAGCATCTATAAATAAACATAAATACACTTAAATGATCTATTTTAAAGTAAGGATGGGCTATTGTTGGCTGCTGTGAATAGATTTTACACTGTTAAGTTTAAAACATGTTCAAGCAGCACCTTGCCTGCACCTGTGGCCTGTGCACCTACTCAGCTGCTTAGGTAAGAGGAGGGCAGAAGGCAGCTCACATCAAACAAAGAAATAGGGGTATGACTTTGAATCTTGCTGACATAAAACATTTCTTGGAGAAATGTACATAAAACATAAAATGTTTGTAACCAAAATAACAGCAGTACCAATTTGGCAAAAAAGGTTTGAATGCGAAGTCTAATTTTCAGATAAACGGGGCAACCAGGTCAGGCACATAAAGTAATTAGGACTGGATATGGACTGGACTGGCATGTTTGATGAATAATTACAAGGGAGAGTGCTACGTGGGTCTAGGTTCAGTGAATAATGGATTAGAAATATAATTGCATTTGTACATTTAAAGCTTTTGCAGGATTGCAGAACAACAATGGACTAGTGGCACTGAACAGATGTGCTCCATAGATAACGTGTCCAGATGCACATTTGGTGCACTATATATTTAAAATTTTGCCAAATTGTACAAATATGCAACCTGTTGTAGGGAATCCCAAATTGATTGGCCAGGTCACTGTGGGTGCAGAATGTCTGTAGCTCATGTACCAGGTGGAGGGTGCAGTCCAGTCCATCTGTGAGAACAAATGTAAATAGACTCCAAAAAAATCAATAGAATAACCCTAAATTAAATCTCAAAATAATGCATTCTAATATAGGCCTGATACGGATTAAATGCTACTGAAAGCAAATTAAATCATGGTAAACCCTATGCAAATAAGAGTTATAGCAGAATAAGAAGAATCGGCATTCGAAGGCATGTCTGCCACGCAGTAGGCTACACGATTTTGATTGATACAGTAAGCAAACTGTCCCTAATCTTTCTGTTTACTGTCTCAGCTGGAGCGCCCCCTGCAACTGTGCTGTCGTGCGTGCGTGCACAGGAGCAACAGATCTGAGCGCATGCGCATTTCATTGTTTTGACTGAAAATGCCGTCGGTTTCGAAAACGGCGGCCAATGCGTCTCCTCAAACCGAGAAACCTACCCACTATACGTAAGTAAAGCAACTACACGTAACCTTATTCGGGCATCGCACAGTATTTGTATTTTTGCATGTGCGTTATTGTGCAATTGTGTTACTTACATTCCTCAGCTCTAGTGTGTGCGTTGAAACATGGTGCTTTTCCTGGCTTTGTGACTACCTAACGCTGCATAGCAAACAGCAACTCCACGCTCCGACATTTCTTCAAATCCAAGAAACACAGCCTCCTTAATTTCCTTTTATATCTAGCTGGACGTTATCCGAATGAATTACGACTATTTTTGACACTTCAAGTCGTGTTTTGAAATATCTTTTTAATTTTAGATCGACAACTTGGGCTGCTAAATGATTAGCCAGGAACTCGCTAACACAGACTGCTTGTAAATAGCTCGGCCTTATTTTGAGTTCCCTCTTGCTACGCACATTTACTGACGTACGCGCAGGCACTGTCACATGAGGTACGCCGGATTCTTTGCGTGCTTTCGTCTGTGAATCAAGAGCTAACGTTGGTGACCTAAAATATTTAGTTGATTGAGACTGGCCGAAGACACGACACTCTCCACTAAACTATTTAACCAAACCTCAAAATAAGCTTATAGCAAGTAGTTTGTGCATATTTTATTAATTAATTCGTATTTTCGTCGCTTTTGCAGATATTTGAAGGAGTTTCGGACAGAGCAGTGCCCCTTGTTCCTCCAGCATAAGTGTACGCAGCACAGACCTTTTACGTGCTTTCACTGGCATTTTCTCAACCAGCGAAGACGGCGACCCATCAGACGTAGAGACGGGACATTTAACTACAGCCCTGATGTCTACTGCACTAAATACGACGAAACAACAGGAATATGCCCCGATGGAGATGAGTAAGTACCCCTCGTTCGCACACTCATCACGGCGCGCTTGGTCTGCAGAATCACTTAAAGCGCGTGTACGTAGTGGTCATGTTTACATTTTGTGCCTGTCGGTCTACTAAGGGGACACGTGTTGACTGTTTGCTTCATCAGCTCTTGGTTTGTGTGTGTTTTGGGAATGTATCGATGTTACTTACTACAGTATTACAGCTAATCGAATGCACTGTACTGAAACCCTTGTAAAGCTATGAATTGACGATAAGGATTTGAGTATTGATTCTTTTGATTCTTGTTACATAGCAGCTCATAGTGTTTTATTGATTAAAAAAACAATATATCAGTATTGGAAAATTGAGTTGTAATATGAAAATGAAAAGCAGATGTTGTTATCCTTTTTCCGGTTAAAAATAGTATATAAAAGGAAATTAAATACATATTTACTTTTTGTATTGTAAGCACTGTGCAAGATTTTAATAATTTGTTTTACCAAAAATGATGTGACAATTGTGACAAATTGAATGTGACATCAAAAGAATAAATAATGCAACAATAGCGTGCAGATACATCATCATTTTCAAGCAGATTTGAAAAAGGGCCTTTGTATTTTAGGTTGTTTGTATTGAATTTTGTATGGTTGGGTATTTTCACCCTTTTATTTTATTACTCAAATAGGTTGCGTAATGTCACTTCCGTAATGCTTTTTTAACGTGTTAACACTATGTGGCAAGATAAAGCTGAGCTCACAGCTCAAATGAAAGTGCTGAAGAAACTCAGTCTCAAGTAATTGACTGCAGACCTCACAATAGCTCGTTGCTAATGGTGGTTATTTTTGTAAGACCTTATGTGTTGCTATAGAAACTGTTGCAGCTCTAGAAGAAAATATAAGGGGAGGTGCTGTGTGCAATAAACCAGATATTTTCTAAAGATGCAGTGGGCAAATCAGTCTTGCATTATGTGCAGGCTGCGAATAGCCCTATCTCTTATTGCCCTTTACCCTTAAAATCTTAATACAAAAATCTGTGATTATGGTGATTTTACCAGTCAGCCCCAGTCAGTATAATTATTAAATTCATTAATCCATTAACATTAACTAATTGATTTTTGGAGTATTTGTCAGCTAATAGAGCAGTAAAACAAATATTATGTGGACTATACACAGTCAAAACGTATCGTGTGCTGAGAGAAGTAATTTCAAATAATCAAAATAAAGGATTTTGTGTTCTTAATGAAAAATATATTTTGTCTATATACTCTGTCAAGATGTCATCAAGCACCATCACTTTAGCTTCAATTGGGTAAAATTTTGTAAAAAATTAATAAATAAATAAATAAATAATATAAAAAAAAAAAAAAAAAGATTTACAGCACTTTTGCAATCTAATGTTTGAATAATCAAAGAAAATAATTGCTTGGTCAGTCAAATGGCAAAATATTTATTAGTTGTAATCCTGCTATTTGTCTGGATTCAATGCTTGACCTTTATGATAAAACATATTTAATTTGTTATTTTAATTGATTTGTAACTTCTAAAACATTTCTACCTCTGCAGCTGTCCTTATCTACATCGGACGACTGGTGACACCGAGCGCAAGTACCATCTCCGCTATTACAAGACAGGCACTTGTATCCACGAGACAGATGCTCGGGGGCACTGTGTGAAGAATGGGCTCCACTGTGCATTCGCTCACGGGCCGCACGACCTCCGGCCTCCTGTCTATGATATCAGGTCATCTGATATACTATTCTACCTTTACAATATGTACCAAATCATACTAAATCTATGGGAATGGACTAGCCATTGCCAAAATTAATAGAATCTAATGTCATTTGTATATACAGAGAGATACAAGCACAAGAAGCTCTTCAAAATGGACAGCTGGGATCAGGTGATGGCATCCCCGACCTGCAGCCTGGTGTTTTAGCAAGTCAAGCTATGATTGAGAAGACCTTAACCGAAGACCCACGCTGGCAAGGTGTGCATTTATAAACAGTGTCAAGATTATTGTGCAATAACTAACATTTCCAAAATTGGACAGCTAGGACCAACTTTTTTGTGCCTTTTCAGATACCAATTTTGTTCTAGCCAATTATAAAACAGACCAGTGTACTAAGCCCCCTAGACTATGCAGACAAGGTTATGCCTGTCCCCATTACCACAACAGTAGAGATCGAAGACGAAATCCTCGAAAGTTCAAATACAGGTAGGAAAAGTTTTTGACTTAAGTGAAACTTTGTGCAGACAGTACATGCAGAGTGTGACTGAGATCTATCTGTGAGTGCAGGTCAACTCCATGTCCAAATGTGAAACATGGGGATGAGTGGGGCGAGCCCTCCAAGTGTGACAGTGGAGACAGCTGTCAGTATTGTCACTCTCGCACAGAGCAGCAGTTTCACCCTGAGGTTGGTCACATTTCTTGCTCTCAAATTATTATTAATTTGTAGTTATTAGTAATATTAGCATTAGTAATTATTAGTAAAATGTGTTGTGTGGATACTCACGTGGTATTATTTATGTTTTTGTACAACAGATCTACAAATCTACCAAATGCAATGACATGAGGCAAACTGGATACTGTCCGAGAGGACCCTTTTGTGCATTTGCACATGTAGAAAGTAAGGCTCTTCATAAAAAAAACTGCAGTTTTATTATTTAGGCTACATTCGTATTGTTGATATGTTTTACCAGGAATCCCCTCTACAGAGGAGACCATGAGCTCTTTGCTGACAGCAATCCAGTCCAGCTCTCAGTCCCAGTTGGGCTCTCAGCAGTATTCAGAATGTCCCACCAGTGACTGGACCAGTGGGGGCAGCTCCAGCACCCCCAGTAGCAACGGTGTAGGAAGTGTATGTTTCCCCTCCCGCCTCCCGTCATAAAAATCACTCATCATTGCATTTATTCATGTGCATTTTTTTATTTTTGTAAAATTTTACTTTTTTTCATTTCTAATAACTAATGAATTAATACTTGTAATACTATATTTGGAGGTCACATTATTCCTTTAAGTAATAGTATAAGTAGACAACACATCTCTGCTGTTATCTTTTTTTTTTGTTTCAGTGTAAACATTGTTTTCTTTTTCTTTTGTTTATTTTACTCATTGTGTTCACTTCTTCCCCTCAGGTTTCATGTTCAAATAGCTCAACTTTAACTACCAGCTCAGAAAGCGACAGTTTGTTATCCCCGGTCAGCTCCATCAGCCGGCCCAAATCTTTAACTAACAATAGTTTATGCTCAGAGTCCACCACATCCAGTGTCTCATCTCTGACGTCTAACTATCCCAAAGCACCAGGCTTTGAACGTGAGGATCAGGTACACGGACTCTCAGTAGCTTTCAGAACTCTTAGATTAACACCTGCCACAGTTTATATACAGTATTTTACCATTTATCTACTTATCTTATGTTTTTTGTCGCATCATATTTATGTTTATCTGCTCAGTTTATCATTTTCAAATTTCTTTTATGCTGCAAGTAAAAAATACAGTAACCTTTTTGTTTGTTTTAGATTAAGAACAAGGGTCAAGGGGAGGCAAAATTGATGGACCAAGAAAGGGTAAGTCTTACATCACTAAATAAATGCCATTACAATAATTACATTTGTTTAAGAGTATAATGTGACCCTTTTGTGTGTTTAGACACAAAATACTGTATTCTCAGCTGTAAATGCTTTGGCATCCAGCTTTACCTCCAGTATCACATCTAGCTTAGCCTCCAGTATTGGCTCAGATAGTTCTTCACCCACCACCTTATCCACCATGAATGCAAAAGCCACACCATTCTACCCAGGGAGCAACACAGTGGAGTCTGTTATAGGTATGTAGAGGTTATGGGCTCATCTTTTTTATTTACCATTTTTACTGACAGTGCTTTTGTCCCTAGGATCTGCCCTAGACCTCAACTTTAGTGACATCAATGTTGCATCTCTTGATAAGGAGCTAGAAGAGCAGGACCATAATTTGGGGTTGGGAGGTAAGTGTTTCTTATCTTTAGATCATAAAAAAAAAACTTTTATTGAATGAATGTACATGTCTCTGCAGGTCGGCGCGTGCTCAGCGGATCTGCTCCTGTTAACATTCCTGGTTCTCTTGGGCGTTCGTCCTCATTTAACTCTTCGTCATCACTGTCCACTTCCCCTCTGAGCTCCCTCTCCCATTCCCTGTCCCAATCTCTCCTGTCTGCGGCACTAAATCAGCAAAATCAGCCTGCAGCCATGTTAGCCAAGCAAGAGCACGGCCTTCTGGGAACACCAACTTCCTCTTCTCAGAATCTGGGTAAGTTCACATGTGGTTGAAGCTGTTTAGTTCCATTGTTGCTTACTGAATCCTTGGACTACAGCAAAATGTTTGCGTGAAACTTCTTAGGGTTGAATGGAGGTTCAAGCAGCATTTGGGATTTCGCAAGTGGCAGTTTCTCCCCTAGCCCATCCCCAGTGTACAGCAGCCTGACCTCAGCAGCAGGCAGTGCAGATGTGAACCGCCTCTTCAGAGAGTTGGAGGAAGCCAAGAGGAAGATCAAACAATGGGAAGAAGCATGGCACCAGGTCAAACAGGTCAGCCACCTGAAATGCCCTGCTCACAATAAGACATTTTGAAGTGCAATATATTGCAACATAATGCTGAGGAAAAATTATTATAAACTTATACTAAAATTACTTACACCACTTTCACAATAACCCTAAAGTAGAAAAATCTCAACAACAACAAAAAAAATCTAAATGTGCAGTATTGTGTATAAACATGAGCTGCAATAAATAAATACCAGAAACACTAACATAGTTAGTTTATATCTAAAATGAGTCATAGAAGTTATTTGTTCAAGCCTCTTAATCTCAAATCTTTTCCTAGTACAGAAATATAACAAAAAGTTTTGCACTAGTACTGAACTTTATCCACGATAAATATTGAACCCCAAAAATGATCGTTCCATCTATCATGTATCATGATAAGTTTGATTAAGTAGTTCTTGTGACATGTCTACTTGTTCTTACATTGTATCCGCTGTTCTGATCACTATTGTATGTTTAGGCCTGTGAAGCCTGTCAAAAAGAAGCGCATGAAGCAAAAGAACAAGCAAAAACAGCTGAGGCAGAGCGGCAGCTAGCCGAGCAGAAGTGGGAGGAAACTGAACGCAAGCTGAAGGAGCTCCAAGGGGACTTTGACGTTCTCTGCCGCACGCCAGGAACACCTCTCCTGCGCAGCTACGGAGAGCTCGAGCAACTCCCTTTGTCTAAGCTCCACTCCCTCCAGAGTCAACTGCGCAATGATCTAGACCTAATAGACGGGGTAAGAAAGGCGCGATCACACACAGCACTGCACTTGTAGCATCCGAATTCTCCTCGGATCACTGTCTTTGATGAAGCATGCTCAATAGAAAGCAACAACTGCATGAACTGTCATTTTCAAGATTGCAGCTGATACTCGTTCTTCTTCTCTCCAACAGGTAATATATCAGCTTCAGTCAAAGAAATGTATAGTTTGCCAAAAGCATGATCGTTGCGTTGTTCTGCAGCCTTGCCAACATTATGTACTATGTGAGAACTGTGCGTCTAGTAAAGCCGAATGCCCCTACTGTAGAACAAAAATATTAAAATGGTGATATACAATTATTCGAGGTACTATTTAAAAACCTAGCTCTTTGAAAACTACTAATGTATATTTACACTTTATATACAGTATAGCAATGTCAGTTTTCTACAATTAACAATTTTATTAGATATTAAATGATGCTTGACTGATGGTGTTTTCCAAGAGATTTAGCTTTTGCCTATTTTATGTGTACTTCACCCACTTTAATCGTTTTACATTAAAAAGCCATAGAACAAATTTACTTACAAAATGCAATATTATATTTGACACTAAACTAATAAATGGTTATGCACTCATGACTATTACAATGATTTATGTACAGAATTTAAATTACTTGTTTTCTATCAATGTTTATGTCAATGTTAATGTGTAGAAATAATGGCACTTGGCATAATCTTACCAAAATGCACTTCTGGGTTTACTTTGTATTACTTTGTATTAGTGAATGTGAATGAATGTGCAAAAACCTTATAATTATTTTGACACTGACAGAATATCAGTAATTTATGAAATCCATTATAAAAGGCATACCTAAAATACATTGTTTTTTTACCTTCACTTTTTTGTCCCATGCAAAAATTTGTGAGAAAAATCTATACCAGCACACTGGTAGACATAAAATGGGCAAAAGAAATAAGAGGACCATATACACCTTTCCACAAAACAAGTACTTCTATTTATTTGAATGTAATATAAATGAGCATTGTCAAGGCAATTATTTAATGTCATGGTTAATAAGAAATTACATGTTAGTTAATGTGGCTTTCCTCTTAAAATAAAATTGTGTAGACTTTTTAAACAAACACATTTTATAAAGCCATTCAGTCAGCCATCATAATATTGACCAACTTTCTGAAGAACCTTGTTTTCTTGTTAAAGCACTTTGTTGATGTGGGACTATGTTATGGGTTTAGACATTTGCTTTAAGCTGCTTTTTAGGTATTCTTTTGTGTCTTTTGTAGATTTATACTTTTTTCTATAAGCTATTGTCTGAAGCTTTCGTGTGTACTGTGAAAAGTAATTTGATTTTTTTGTTGTTGTTTTTTTTTCTATTAGTAAATCATAGCATGGTTCTACATATTAAGATTTCATAGAACTTACTACATAGTTTATAATGCTTTTTCATAGATTTTTAAATTTTCAATCAATTAAGTGCAAATTTACAATGCATATTAGGCATAACCAGCAGCTGTAATATCAGTAAGGCACATTTTACATGTTAAGGCTGTTATTCAATCATTTAGTTTAGTTGTGTAAAGATTTCTATAGCCTATCTATTAGAGAGCATGTATTAGCTGCCGAATATGGCAAGTTTTATATATAAATATAATAGCCTCCTGACCTTGAATAGAACATATTTCAAAAGTGCCTTGCCTTAGTTCTAAATGAAATAAATGTACATTTGTCGAAGCAAACACAAACAGTTGAAGCTTGTGCACAGGTCTCTGCAAATAACATGTTTATAGAGAAAAAAAAAAGTAGAATTTGGGCAATCTCATCTCACCAGTGTCTGAGTAAGAGATCATTGTAAACAGACATTGGCCAGTGCCTGTGTCCTGACTTTGACCATATTCAAGAGCCCCCCCTCGCCCCAAATCCATTCCTTGGTCGTGGTGCTCTTTTGGTGCAGCTTCAGTCAAGTTAGTTTTTACAATTCAATTTCGGGAGTATGCAAATAAGAGTATAGCAACATCTAAAAATGCTTTTTAAACAACTGTAATTGTAACATATTTCAGCATTGAATGAAGAATTGTGTGTTAACTTGTAACATTTTACATAGACTTTGTGCATAGTCTAATTGAAATGACCTTCTACTGTGTTTATTCTTGCTTTAAATTCAATAGAACATTTATCTCCAGGTATACCTTTTGCTTCTTATAACTATAGGAAGATGTATTGTTTACATTCACTCAAATGACAAGTACACAACTCAGAGGACAAATATGTAAAGGTTATGGTATTTTCGCATATTACTGATTACAATACATCATTAAGCAGGCTAAGCACTTCTGGTATTGCATGTTATGCGATATAATAACCAGCTATGTGTTATAAAAAGAAAAAAAAAAAGTAAAAAATAATCGCACTGTGTCACACTGCCAGAATATTTGTATGGAGTTATTTTTAGAGTAGTTACGGCTTAAATTTTCAGCAAGCTTCGCTGCTTCTGGAAAAAGGTATTATTGTAGTTCTTGTAATACATTTAGATGTTTGAATGTTGTGCATCCACAGCTCAGATTCCACAAACTATGAAAAATAAGATTGTTATTCTGTGTAATGCGTCTGTTTGAGTACAATGGCTTAGAATGATGTCATAGACCTGTTCTGCTCTAGATGAACCCTTTTCGAGTAATTCAAAGTTAGTGTGTATTTGTTGCATTGTTTCCCTGTAAAGCTGTTCACAGGGTCTTTTGGTCAACGTTTTTGCCCGTGAAGCCAACTAAATTAATGATGTCTTTTGTGAATTTCTCAAAACAAACCAAAGTGGTGTTCAAGTAGCTCTGTAATCTGTTTTAAAGGGAATGTTACCCTTTAACATAATTCATTTATACTTCTATAAATATAGTATTGCAAAAAGCAGTGTGTGTTTGTGAATTAAGTCTGGCTTTGCCTGAAGATTTTGACAGGAGGTCAGAGGGCAGAGGTTAAGGGCAGCTCAGTTTGTACAAGTCTAGGAATGTTTTGATTAGATTTTACTGCCGAATGCAATGGGCCAGGATACAGCCTTTAAAAGTAAGAGTTATGCCACTGGCTTATGTTATTGGACTTGCAGTTTTACCAAAGACCTGTAATATTCCTTTCTTTGCATTGCATTTCATGAATTTTATTTGTGGTAAATCTAATTTTAATAAGTAATCACCTAGTACCTTAATTGACTAGTTAAAATTACTATCCTTATTGTTTGATGATTAAAAGCATGCGCCAGATTGTCACTAAAGTGTATTGTACATTTCATTTCAGTTAATTTTATATACAGTGGTGTTAGTGGCAGATTTGAGCACACAGACATGCTGACCAAGTGGTTAACAGTCTATAGTGAAGAAATATGAATGACATTTATTTATCTAGTGGCCATATTCAACTTCAATACTGTACTGTCTTGAAGTAAGTTTTGTTGGTTGGCTTTACAGAACCTATTCTCAGTTGTTTGTGCTATATAGCATTTTCTGCTGTTTTAATTGGCCTACAGTGACTGTAAGGTGCTCTTTTATCTGACTGCATTTCCATGTCCTAAAGCTGTGGTCCAAATTGGTTCTCTTTAGTGTAAAGTGAATGGGGGCATATGATTGTGATGAGCATCAATGGCAGATACAGACAAAATAAAAACTAAAAACGGACTATTACAAATGTGGGAGAAAATGAAAAAAAAAAAAAAAACATTTTTCGTAGATCTCTTCAAAGGACCAATTATCCATAACTCTTAGATTGTGCCTTGTTTGAAAATTTGCTTTTATATTGATTTAAAAAATACTATTACAGTTGGAGTGAGTAAAAAAAAAAAAAATCAGAGTCAAAAGATTCAGTGCCTTAAAATGTTTGATTCTAAAAATGTGACAATGCCCCCTTTGCATTATGACCACTTATGATAAGGCTTAATTTAGATTTTTAACTAGTTAAAAAATATCTGGCTCAGTCTGTATTTGCCATGCCATAAAAACACAGCAATACATAACTTACACAGTTTGATTTCAATTAGAAAACAAAACAATTTTCATTAAGAAAAGCACCAAATGGTGGGAATTTTGTAAATGAACTGTAATTGATGTATCGTTATGATCTGCAACAGAATAGCTGATTCTATTTTGCATTATTGTTAGTTAGTTGTTATGTTGTCTTTTTGTTTTTAATATTATAAAATGGAGCCTAAAACATTTATGCAATCTTGTACATGTATATGAGTATAATGTATGAAGCTGTTCAAATTAAGTGAAAATATTGCAGGTGTTGTCAAGCAGAATACTTTTCAAATGGAAACAAATGTTCCATATTGTTTAGAATTTTTTTTTTTTTTTTTTTTTTTTGCGTTGAAGCCCTAAAATATTGAATGTATTGCTCAAAATTAGATATTTAAATAATAGGTCACTGGAATATTACGGAGCGCAGTAAATTCATTATGATGTAGCATTTAGGTGTGAACTGCTATTAAATAAAATTTATTAGAAATAAAGTTTTCACGTTTCTATTTGTCAGTTTAGTTAAAAAAAAAAAAAGTATTTTTCATGAATATACAGCAATGATGATGCAGAATATGTAATGTGTAATAAATTAGCATTTCAATAAATTTAACTTAATGCAAGTGGGTAAAGACAACATTTATTTGTAACAAACTATGGATATGTAGGAAATACTTTGATTATTGTAGAAATAACTGTTGGTATAATGCTATGTTTTGTGTTGTGAACACAAAATAGGTGCAAGTTTTAGGATATTAGATATTGCTTTTCTACATCAAGGGTTGTGTATGGCATATTCTCTGTAGTGTATTACTAGTTTGTTAACACTTGATATTTGTTACACTACAGTTATGCAATGGTTTACAGAATTCTATCATATTGACAATTAAAATAAGTTTTCATCTGAAATGTGTTTTTGTCTCAGCATATTTTTTTCTTATTTTACAGATGTCTTTTGTTAAGAAAACACAAAAACGAGTGTAAATTTGGAAAATTGGTACATGTATTAACAAATATAGTATTGAAAGCATTAAAATATAAACCAGGTTATAGGTGAGTAAAGCAGAAGTAGCATCGCTTTGAGGACAGGGATCTTATCACCTCATTATAAATCTAAATATTATTTGAATACCTTTGTCTATGGCTTGAATGTCCTAAGGCAAATTAATATCATCAGATCAAGGATTAAAATGGACTGCTGCACCTTATAGAGAAAGGTAGTATGTAAAAGTCATGTACAATGTTTACCTGTTATCACTGGAATCCTTCCTCCCACTAGATGGCAGCATATGCCCGGCAGGTCCTCTTGTACCTGTACTTTTAAGTTACTTGGCTCAGAGATGTAACTGTTTGCCAAAGTGCACCGAGTATCAGGGACTATGAAACCAGTAAATAAGCACAGCTGTCCACAAAAGTGTACATTTACAAAGGTCACATTTCAACATCTTATAATGGCAAAGACTCACCAAATGAATTAATAATTTATAGAGCTTTTAGAAATTGTATACACCTGCATAACAATATCACCTAAAACATTTGTGAAGATTATCAAGAAAAATGCACACCTGAAAATGGCCATTGTAAGTGCTGGATATCTGAGATACAGAAACACAATACTATGTAAACAGTAGTCTAAAAATGCATGCCTTATTGTTCAGTGAAACAGATGTACAACACAGTCCTTATGAAACCACAGGTTTTCAATATAAGTGTCTTGCACACATAGCATGGATTATGTATTTTATAGAACTATCATGTAGGCCCCTCCACGTTTAAGCTGGCTGTAGCACACCTACTTACAATTAATACACATACTATATCCACTGATAAGGCCTGTCTGACAAATTTAAATCTGGTTAGTGCCATACATTTCTAAATTAAAACATAAATTAAACAAACTGAATAACTTAGTGAAGATGAATACATAGATCTACAGGTATTTCACACACAGAATGTATATTTCAAGCATTTATTGCAATAGAGATTGTTATGGGTAACTTGTAAGTGACAGTTCAGTGTGGGTTAACATATCCTCTATGCTTTTCAGTCACTTTTTCACTGCACCTAAAATATATAAACACAAGGAAGTGTCATAATCATTGTTTGCAAAATGAATAAACATAGGGAAATGTACAATATGAATCAACACTTACAAGAAATAAGTTCATGTTCAAAGAAGAAAAGTGCACATTGTCTGGCTGTCACTTCAGGTGTGGGTGACATCAAAATACCCAAATCTCCATTGGACTCCATCAGCAGAAGTTTCCTCAGAGCTAATAGAGCATTGTTCCGCCTCAGAGCACACACCAGAGCAGGGCCAGACATCAGAGTGACCAGAGCGTTGTGGCTGTGCTTCTCTCCAACCTCATAAGGGCTCACTTCCAGGGCCTGAAGTCGACTCAACGCAGGCAGCCATTTCAGAGCGAGCAGCTGAAACCCTGCACAGCAAATACAGTGTAATAACTGTTCTAAATCTGATTATATAAACACTCATCAGACATTACATCATGATCAATGCCACGTAGGTAAGTTATTTCTTCAGAGCCACATCTGTCGCTAGAGTAACAGTTTCAAGATGCAAGTTGCAAACATTTCAAACTTAATTTCAATACCAGCAAAAAGGCACAATATACATTTTAATTATTTTTAATGGTATACTAGTTCTGATATAGATCAAACAGATTTGTACAATTTGTGTGTCAAAATGGTTACTTATAATGTTAACTATCAAAATGGCCACCAATGATGAACAGGTGGTTAAAATGTCCTGCCTTTACCTACCGTGTTGCGTGAGGGTTCTGTGTAGAAGGCTCAGACCTTGGCCCATGTCCTGTCCACACAAATTGAAAACTACCACCTCATCCTCCTCCAGGTCCAAGGGACACTTTTGACTAGACAGGACCACAGTGGAAGGATCTGGGACTGCCCAAGCTGGCTCTACTATTAAGCATAATGTAAATGCAAATGTAAATATGGAAGTGACAATGAACTTAAGTTAAAATGACATTGAGATTAGATTTCTTACCAAAAATATTAAACATGTTGTTGCTGTAGGAGGTTGTATGGAAACACAAACTTGGCTCAACTATTTGAACAACATCACCCCTGGATGGCAGGAAGGTCAGAAGGTTGTGTGACTTGAATTCTTTCATAAGAGCTGACAAAAAGGCAAGAAAAACATACTAGCCAAAGCACAGATAAAATTACACATAATTCACGGAAATAAAACACTGCATACCCAACAGAAGAGAAATCGTGTGATGCAGTGCATTTTCCTTCTTAAGTATCAACACCAGACATTTTTGGGATGTGCAGAAGATTTGAGCCTACACAGCACAAACATTTACACACACATAGTTGTTGATTCATTGCACATAATACCTAAATTAGTCCTACTTGCTGACTGGTGAGTCCTAGTAGTGAAGTTCTATCATTATCGAGTTTCATGATCTGTAACGCACTGAGAATAAATCCTCTGTGTTCACATGTGGAAAGCACTTGGCCGTAGCAACATGGTGGAATGAGTGGTGACACCACAAGGAGTATGTCAGCTGTACAATGAGGAGACATGGTGAGAAATACATCTAGAACATATTATGAACAAGAGGACTTTGAGTAGTTTACCTTTAGTTGTAGCACACAGGAAGGACGTACTGTTCTCGATTACCTGAACTTCGCTAAGAAAAAAGATTCAAAGCTAAGTTCCTATACACTGGCTCTGTATATCATTAAATTACATGGTCAGTTCTGTGGTAAGGATATGGTTAACTGGATCAACATATATCTGACTGGGAAACAGTAAAATATAAGAATATTTCTAAAACACAAAACTTATGAGAATAAATCAGAGCAAGATAGAGAAATGATAAAATCCCCCATGTAACCAAAGTAGGAAATTTTTTAGATATAATAATGTTTTCATATCTGACAACAAACCTTTTTAAAGACTCATTCTGGTACTTTTCCAGTCTCCCAGAAAACCACAGACACAGCTCTTTGTGGATTTGAACTTGCTGTTGAGGTGTGTATAGCAGCAAAGAATCAGCTTCACCATCTTCAGCACCAACCGTCTTCTGCCAGAACATGTGCTGCACTGTTCTATTTATGCCCTGTGATATAGAATGGGCATAGGGGCCACGGACTGCCATGACAAGGATGTGCCCATTGTCACTCCCTTTCTGAAGAAATGTCTTGCACCCTGAAAGATTTCAAGTACATCATTCGTATTCTCAAAACAACAAGAAAATAAAGTATTACAAATATTTTCTTTACCAAAATGATCAGGCAGAGACTCAGGTGATGGATAAAGGAGTCTTAAACCACAAATATCTAAACCTGAGACAAGGATGGCCTGTAGGGTATAGTGTGCCAATAGTGGATGTTGGTAAAAGTCTTTATGTCCCAAAGTAATGGATATCTACAATATATTGAGATAGTTAAAGAAAGTTAAAGACATATATTTCAATCATAAAAAAACAAATACATTTATATTATTTTCCTTGGATATACAGTAGGGCTGCAATGATTATTGGGGTGATTGTGATTAATCAACTACTAAAATAATTGTCCACTATTTGAATATAATGTTCATTGTTAACTGGACCATAAACAGACGCTACTATTTGTTAGGAAAACGAGTTGTATCACAAAGACAGGAAAATGTTAAAATTATTGTTCAGATATTTGTTGGTTGTAGCCCTAATGTACAGTTCTTACCTCTGTATGCAGGTCTTGAATGGTCTCTCTTCCTTTGCATTTATGGCCTGGGGTTTCCAATGTCTGCCAGTAAAACCCTGGACTCAGCTCAAATATTCTGCCTATTACCTAAAAGCACCAAACCGACAAAAAGAATAAAAGAGAATCCACAAATCCAGAAAGTTAAAACAGTATATAACCCACTTCTTTGTTAGAGGTTACAGTGATAAAAGAGCTTAGATTGCATGATGGGAGATAGATAGGGGCATTGTAGATGTCTTCTCCCATGATGGTATTCAGCTGAGGAACCCAGTGAGCTATAGTGGGGAGTGAAGTCTCAAACAGAAATCTGCTAATGTGGTTGTGGAAGGGAGTAGGAATGTCTGTGTCCTTTTTCTAGTAATAAACACAACAGTAATTACAAAATCCTCTAAGTTATATACAAATCATCATTATATTACTTGTACTGTTACCCTTTGAGTATAAGTTTGTTTGGCTACAGCTAAGACGTACAAAGACAGTCCTCTCTTTGTCCAAAGCTGCTGCAATCCAACAACCCAGAATGGTACATTAGCATTAGCTTCAATAGCACTTGGTGAATGAGGGCCCACCTAAAAAGAAAAGCAAAAAGCAAAGATAAAGACCTTATTAAAAGTATCTGTATATAGAAAAAAAGTGTTTAATACTAACTAAGGATAGAAGCCAAGTCACTAAAGTGTTATAAAGGTTGGTAAAATCTGAATTGATTTTTCTTCTTCTTATTCTGCGTTCTTTCTTAGTAACCATTCCAAGACTTGAGAGATTGACAATCAGCAGCACGTGTCCAGCATTCCCTCTGTCTGTTGGTAATGTTCGAACTGGCTCAAGATGGGAGGCGTCCTGAATGAAAAGTCAGTTCAGTTGTCACTATTTGATCAACTGTAATCCAATTTCTTCGATAAATCGCGCTCACAATATCATAAAGAAGATCAGTATTTTCAGCAGCTGGTTGCTTTTGCCCAACAGACTTTGTTGGCCGACATTTCTCCAGTTCTTTTACAGTGTGTTGACATTGCTTATGGTAATGATCTCTGATAAATAATACATAATTAGGCATATAACATTTTATTGTTCCTTAAAATGCTTAATAATAATTACTTGAAGCCAGAATCACATACCTTTGTTTCTTAGATAGTTCTTGGTTATTCTTCAGATTTTCTGTTTTAGGTTTAGCGTGTTCAAACTCCACACATGAATGGTCTGTGCCCTCTTGTTGGCTTTCACAGTAGTCTTTGTTTGTAGCCTCCATAAAATCCAATGTTTTAACACAAACACGTTTCTTTTTCACTCCAGTTTTATTCATGCATTTATTCCTTTGATTGTTCTCGCGTATTTTCCGAAGTAACATGCTTTTGCCCGTTTCTTTCCTATAAGGAGAAAACATGTTTCATGAAAAATGAAACATTAAAATGCAAGATAATAAGTGGCTCACCAGTAGCTTGTCTGTGTTCCTGCATGGACTTGACTGGGGCTCTTAGCTGGTACTGCTTCTTTGTGAACAGAGCACTGGGAGGGAGACTTTATTGGTTTTGTGGATGTCTGACTGGTGCATCTCAAATCAATGTAAACAGTTGGACGTTCTTTGATCTCTTCCACCATGTTTTCCTCTGGTATGGGCCCCATGTAGTTCTTCCTGTATTGCAAATTTTAAAAAAAAAATTGCAAGTACAAATACTGCAATAAAAATGTATCTATTATAAAAATATGAACTAACTAACTTGACATAGTTTGGATTATGGTGGGACTTGACTGACTGCTTCTCACAGAAAGATGCTATTTTTTCCAAAATATTTTTGTAGTAATTTTCCTTGCCGCCATCTGTTCAAAACAATGAAATAATGCCAAATAGAGTATGTTCATATTTAAAATGTATTGTTTGAGACAGTTGTACTTGCCTGGATATCCATCTCCTATTTCAGCTGTGCCCCGTTGTGGCTTGATTACTTTTTGGGTGTTTTGGAAAACATTTAGATCCAAATGTTCAAGCTTCTGTGACAATCAATTTACTATTGTAATTTCTCACATGCTAAATATAATAATATGTGGAAAATGACAGTCTTATGTACTTACAGCAAACGAGAGGACAATGTGATTACTGAGACTCTTTTCACTTGAGTTCAAAGCAGTGTCGGGACTCTTGTTTAACTCTGCAATGTTTTCTGGTTCACTTACATCCAGTGGCTCCTTCATTTCACATAAGATTGTCAGTGGGAAAAGCAACTGTTTTAAATAAATCATACAAGTGATTCAGTGCCAGTGAAATACCTCTACAAATGGTGGTGCAATCGTGTCTCTAGTGTCATCAGGAAGTTGCAGAGAGAGCCCAGTTGGTCTTTGAAATATTTCAATACTACCTTCGTCCTCAGACTGCAGGGTAAATAAAAATCTGTTAATGTTTATTTAATTTCTTTCTCTTTCACATAAAGCTCAAGGTTTTTGCTAATGTCAGTCATGTTGCTACCTGTTAACTAATTACATTGCTACCTACCGATGAAGCTGGTTCAATTGAGGGAATATACGGCTGCACGTTTTCCACAATCGTCCTCCAAAGGCTGTTGTCCATTATTTTTAGTCGCAGGGTAGAAATATTGGTCTATGTTTAAACTAAAACCTAACTTTGAGTTGTTTGCTGTGATTAATGTTACGTGCTGTGAGGGAAGCTGATAAAGCGCTGTGGGTACCATGGCAACGGAAACTTTACCTGCTCTGCGTGTGGCGTTCAGGGGCTGTCGGAAAAGTACCTGATTTACAGATATGAGGCGGTCGTCACTACAAGAACCGAAGGCCATAAAATATGTAGGTTTCTTTCTTTCTTTTCTTTTCTGTTCTTTTTTTTTTTTTTTTTTTTTTTTTTTGTAAGTTTTCAGCTTATCTGCAATTGTTTGACTTCCTCAATTTCCCCAAATCTTCAAATATTTATTTTGCTTTAAAGTTAACTTTAGCTGGTAGCAGGCTAGCCCTGCTAACTTAGCTAAGTCTGTTAAAATAATTTGTTAGCTTAGCATGCTCTCTCTCTTTTTTTGTGTGAAAATAATGACATTTTATAGACTGTGTTATACTTGTTATTTTTATTGCTCAATATCTTTGAACAACAGTGCAAACTAATGCAAAAAGCAAACATATAATCACAAATTCCCCTGACCAGAAATTCCTTATTACATCAGAGATCAGAAATGGAATATATTGCACAACATTAGTGGCTAATTACCTGTAGATCTGTAAACCTTAATGATGATGTTAGTGTGTAGGTAATTATCATCACAGCCTACCATATCTTAAAAAGTGCATATTTATTGATTTTGTTTCTGTCTAATCCTAAACTTTTAACTTGTATGTAAAGCTCTCTTATGTTTTTGTCTTCAGTTTTGAGACCATAGAAATGTAACTACCAGACTAGCAGCTCTGAAAATGTTCACTGTTTATGTCTCGTAGGTCCTGTCCTGCCAGTTGAGTTGGAGTAGTGCACGTAATGTTGTTGTATATTGTAATGGTAGTATCTGGCTCTTCACCCTCTGCATGAGTCTCCAGTTGTCGTGGAACAACCAAAGGATTTGCCTGGCTGTATTCTCTGAGTGGGAGAGCACTGCAGTCACATCTCCAGGGGTTTCCAGAGAGAAGAAGTTTTTCCATGGTCAGTGGGAAATCTGGGATCACATTAGCCAAGGCATTGTCCCTGAGATCAATATATCGGAGTTTAGGGAGAACCTGTTTTGTGTCATTCAGCACCAACAGTCGACATTCATTGTTCGACAGAAGCAAGTACTCTAAATTTTTCAGGCCCAAGAATGCTTGGACAGTTATTGTGTCTAGTTTGTTTGAACGCAAATCTAAACCTGATAAGCCAGCCATGTCAACGAAGCTGTTGCGTTCTACCGATGAGATGTTGTTATGTTGTAAAAATATTCGGCGTAGACCAGAAAGTCCAGTGAAAGCTTGAGAAGTGATTCTGGTAAGGCAACCTCTATCCAAATGGAGGCTGTGAAGCTTTGGCAAGCCTTTAAAAACCTGGTCTGGAAGTGTGATGAAACAACTCCCTGAAAGATTTATAACTGCAACATGGGACAGCCCTGTAAAACTACCCATGTGTGCCTCCTGGACTTGATTGTGATCTAGCTCTAGCACTTCAAGATGACCAAGACCTTCAAAAATCCTCTCTCCCAAAGATCGGATTCTGTTGTAGCTAAGCCGAAGCTCTTCTAGATACTGCAGATCACGAAAAGTTCTGGGACGTATTCCATTAATTGTGTTATTGGAAAGACGTAACACATGTAGACTATGAAGGCCCAAGAAAGTATCGTCATGCAAAGTGGTTAGCTTGTTATTTGTAAGGTCTAGCCATCTAAGAGATTTCATGCCTATAAAAGCTCTGGGTACTACTGTTACTATCTGATTTTGAGCCAAGTACAGCTTTTGCAGTTTGGTAAGTTTGACAAACACATTAGCTTTGATGACCTTGATAAAATTTCCAGTTAGATCTAGCTCTTTTAGTTCTACAAGGTTTTGGAATAGCTGAGGTTGCAGGTAAGCTAGCTTATTCCCAGCCAAAATCAGCTCCCGTAAGCCAAGGAGGTCCTGGAATGCTGTCTCTGGGAGCACTGCTATGGAGTTCCAGCCCAGGTTCAAGAGCCACATGCTGGACAGTCCAGCAAAAAGTCTTTCCTCAATGCGAGTGAGCTGGTTATTGTGCAGACTCAATGAGGCAAGATTTGGCGTACTTTGGAAAACTGTACCTGGTAAAGTTCTCAATCGGTTTCTCTCAAGATGGACATGAGCAAGAGATCGTAGTCCTCGAAAGGCCTGGGTGTCAATGTTGACCAACTGTCCACTTTGCAAATTTAGAAAATCCAGATTGGAAAGGTCTTTGAAAGAGTTAGCTGGGAGTGACGAGAATAGGTTTCCATCTAGCCAAAGTGAATGGGTGGACGTTGGCATGTCATTTGGAACCTGGCTCAAGTTTCTGAAGCTGCAGTAAACGTTGAGCTCCAGACTGTAGTCATCGTAAAGACAGGTGCATGCTTTTGAACATGGTATAGGCTCTTCTGTTCCCCTCTCCGCAGAGCTATCTGGAGTGGACTGCACAAGAAGGACCCCCTGCGCCAACAACACCAGCAGTACAATGGCTTTCATACTAGAAAAATATTTTAAAAAAAAAGTATGTAGTCAATACACAAAGCCCAATCTCACCATGTTTCCCTAGTGTAAGCATTTAATTTTAAATCCACCTTACCTTGCAGCTGCTGTTCTGGATTCAGTGTTTACAGGCTCAAACACTGATGCTTGACCCTTGTGCGTGTGTTTGTATGCAGAAGCCTGCCCCCTCCACAAGCACACAATGGTTCTGGTAAGTCAGAAAACTGGAATAATTAACCCTTTCATTTTCAATATGCCATCATTTTCATATAATAGCTTTATTGGCATTGTGGTTATTAAATGTCTTTAAAAATATACTGAATTTAAAAAAAAAAAGATTGCTTTGAGGTATTTCAGCTCTGACAACTGTAAACAACAAAAAGTGTAGAAAATGTAAATAACTGTATTTTTTATTTATTTTTTTATTTATTGCTTTAGTAGTATGTCACATATCATGATTATACTATAGTATTTTTGAGCATTTTGTAGATACAAAAAATAAATAGTCCATTCATGTATACGTCTCTTATTAAGTGAATGGCCTTTGATGTTTACAGAGGCTCAGTCATTGAGTTCACTTACTGTAGATCTGAACTGATGGCATAGAGATAACACAGGCATGTTGCTCTTTACGTTAATATACATTTTAACACACATCTAGGGTAATCATGTAATTTTACAAATATTTAGTCATATTCATTTACAAATTAGACATTTACAATGATCAAGATGGTTGTGTGGTTCATATTCCCTACATAACATGAATTATATTGATTTGTGTCACTGTGCAGGATATGACCAGTGCATGAGGTCTGTTTCCTAATCACATGTATGACTGTAATGACTAACTTAATGTTTACTCTGTACTTGGTATCTGGGTTCTTTTTAGCCAACCATGAACCTGCCAGACTCTAAAGTACAACTACTTTCAGATAACATCGGGACAGCACAAAATTTCATTGATTAAAGTCAACATAAACAATATATACTACTTCAGAACTTCTCTTGTGAAATGAAATCAGAAGGCATAGCAATGGTTCTACGTTATGCTTATCTGTGCTGAGTGACCCTTTCTAAAAGTGCTTTCACAATCATTACCAGTAGAGGGTACTGTGGTTATGTAAACAAACTTATTCTCATTTAGCTTCAGAATAGTAGTACAAATACTAGTATAAAGAATAAAAGTTTTCTAACAACTAAAAGTTTATTCATTCTTACCTTGATTTGTGAAGGCAATTACAACTCATTATAACAGTTCAGTAGAAGACACAAATGACACCTCTAATTGGCTTTTCCGGTAGAAAGATGTTGTCATCTGCTGTGGTCATCAAAATGAGAAGATGTCAGGGTAAGAAACTCTTTGTCTTGGCTATTTGTTCCAATTCATCTATATACATATCTTGTTTGTATGCATCTTTCTTCAAAAGCATATTCATTCATACCAATTAGCATTATAAACATTGTACAAGTTGTTATTGGCTTCAGTCTTATGTATTTATGATATTTTAATCAAAGGGACTTGTCTGCGAGAGCTGTTGCTGATAATTATTGTATTAATTGGATAACATAAAAGCTTTGGCGCTTTTACCCAGACAGATGCATTTACTTAGAAGAGCTTAGATGGTACTAAATGCTGTAATTAGTTTTCCAAAATCTTAAAAATGACTGGCAAAAACAGCACAGTCAAAGTCTTGCACGGTAGATTTCTTTTGTGTTAATGTTATTTCATAGCCTATTTTCCAGTCATGCACAGTGGTTGGGTGGTTAGCATTCTGGCATCCATGTAAAAATATTGTTGGTTCTCTATCCACTGATTGGCTGACTATGAAAGCTGCATGTCCATAATATGTTACTGTAGTGGGTTCTTCCAGGGTTTCCACTCCTCCCACCACTAATTCATATATTGATATATAGATATATAGATCACTGGTGTCTCTAAAACTCTAAATCGTAATTTTTTATGACTAGTATATAAGAAATTCCGGAAACTCAGCCTATAGTTTCTGAAAGCAAATACTATTTTATTGCTAGTATTGAGGTTGGGTGCTTCGTGTTTTTTTAGCGTATTCAATATTAAAATAAAAAGGGACGGATCTGAGGCACTCTGTTCGTCAAAATTAGACGTATTGGCTATCTGCCATAAATCTCCAGCACAGGCTGAAATTTTGTTTGGCCCAACCAGCTGTCTAAATAAGCATTAAAAATATATACATAAAGCTTTGTTTGAACACTTTAGTCCAAAGAGGGTATTGCAAAAATGTGACTATACTGGACTCTGTGCAGTTTGTAGTAAAGGCTGTGGGTGAGTTTGTACTAAATTTGTATTCGATAATTTGGGGAAAAATTACCTACATCGGCCAAAAAATATCATCAGAGTCCATCGGTCATTGCTTTGTCCGGTACCAGTATCTGCATCTTCCATGAAAAAAGCTTGTCAGTTGGTCTCTAGTCAAAATTAATACCAACAAGAAGGTCTTCATCGGGACTTACACCTACAAGGTCAAGTGTTTTCTTCTGCTGTTGTTTGAATGCTAATCTGCCCTCCTGGATAAGTGCAGAAAACCCATGCATAGTCTGAACTATGATATGGCCATTATATTTGAAAGCTTTGTTGTTTTTATTGCGTTATTCCTGATACTTGCTATGACCTTTGTCTGCTTAAGGCTCAATGTATTTTTCATAATGTGTTTGTTTTGACAGTTGAACTTGCTGATGTCTTTAGCAGCTTAGAGTGGTGAATGACTGTAATCATGGTTCTAGGCAGTGACTTTTTGGAGGGAGGACATTGTCTCTGTCTTGACGTCTGAAAGATGTTGGATCAGTCTGTTTTATAATCGAATGTGACAGTTGTGTCCAAAGCAGAGTATGGCAGCTGAGGGCATCATTTCAAATAATTTCACTCTGACAGTTGGTTGTCTGAGCTGCACTGTTCAAATGTATGAAGTTGACAACAAAGCATAGCTAAATTTGGAGAAAAGAATACTGAGCACATACTTTTGTTATTGCTTACCACCAGAACGTATCCCTGCACTTAGGGGTATGTGTGGATTTAAGCCTACTGTTATCTGCATTATTTTGCCATTTTTCCATTGAAAAAGATTTTACATTTTTGTTTTAAATTGCTAGTCATGTTGGCAGTGGTCCTAATTCTTTATCATTTTGAAAATGAAACCCATGGATAGGCTTCTGTTAATGTAGCCATAAAACATAAGCTATTGCTTTAACACACAAACATGAGTTATATTATGGATGGTTTTGTTTTCTGGCAGATGGTAAGCTCCGCTCTTTTTTTTTTTATCTATAAAATCTATATATTTTGTAGAAAAAATATAGATAATGATCTCTTGACAAAAGTCTCTCCCCCATTTTAATCTTTGTTGACATAAAAAAAAAAAAAAAAAAAAAAAAAGAGTTAAAACTGGAATGACACATGATAAGACAAACATTTGTGCCTGCCTGACTAAAGTACAAGTTTGGTGAAACATTTTAGTCTCAAAATCTCACCACAGTGTTTTTGTAAGATTATCTAACCAAAAAACATTTTAGAACCTTTTCTGACTATGACAATGTATATTACATCCTAGAAATGATCACCACTTTTTACTCTGGTGATGTAATAACACAGATGAATGTATAAGCCAGTGTCCATTAGTCTTTCTCTCATTCCCTTTCTTTCTTTTTCTCTATCTCTCTCCCTGTCTCCCTCTCTCTATTTCTGCTCGTTGAATAGACCCATTGTCGTGTCTCTAGAGATGGAAGTCTGCATTTCTGTATGAACATTCAAATTTTTTCATTTTCCTGACACCTTAGTTCTATTCATTCCTTAAATAACATGGGCAAGAGACTGAGGATGGATTTATGTTAAAAATCATCTCTATGTGCCATAGATGTTGATTGGCCAAGATAAGCCTCTTTACATTGACTTCAAATAAGCATACACTACTACAGTATACACAACAAGTCAAAAGTTTGGACTGACCCTCTCATTCAATGTTTTTTTGTTTTGTTTTGTTTTGTTTACTAGTGTCTACATTTGATATCCATTCAGAAGACATCACATATATGAAGTAAGATGTATGGAACTATGTAGGGTTATTTAACCTTTTTTTCTTTACTAAAAGATTCTATATATCTTGCTTCATATATTTGATGTCTTCTTTATGTATATCAAATGTAGAAAGTAAACAATATGAAAAAAAAACATTGAATGAGAGGGTGAGTCCAAACTTTTGACTGATAGTGTGTGTGAGGCCCCTGCAATAACATTACACCTGCTTCAGTCTCTGTTACCCATTAAGAGCAAATGACAGAATTTAAATGAAGTCATCTATTCCTAATGATGGTGACTTCAAGCATAGACATTTAAATTTTACAAACACATAAAAAATACATCACTTCATACATATTTTTGTCGCTGGCCTTATGCAGAATTGGGTTTTGAATTCATATGAGGCAGACTCCATAGAAAGAAATGCAATTAAGAGTTGGCTTGACTTGAATATATTAGACTATAATTAAGTGAATTTCTTTGCTTGTAAGATTAATGAAAGTTCTTATCTTGATTTCATTCAAAGGCGAGCGTTGGGGCTCATTAAATGTTTTGGATGAGAATGCTGTAAGTTTATAGACAGTTTTTACATTATAACAAAATGACAAAGTGTGATTGGTGTTTGAAGGATTGACTTTTGTGAGATTTAAGCCATGTTATAATGTTGTTACGTCCTCAAAAATATACCTGGAGTTGTGTTTTGTTTTGTTCACACATGTTTAAGCAATCCTGCATTATTAGTCTGTCTGCATCTCCAAAGCTCATAATGCTCTGTTCCTTGTGATGCCATCAAGCGGTAGTTTTCAAGCTAACAGATACCTTTTACATTTCGTTCAGTAGAGATCGGCATTTCCAAGGCTGAAATCATCTAAATGATTCTAGGGAAGGTGTATGGAGTTTAAAAACATAGTGGAGCATTTCTTGTATTATCACATGATGGCACAAGGTGGGACAGTGTTTTCAAGAAAAACTCTGTGCCTGAATATGCAGGATTTGCAGGTTAAACACATGTGAATGAAACAAAACACAACTGCAGGTATGTTCTTGATGAGGAAAAACATAACATAGATCAGAAAATAGCATAATATGGACCCTTTAACCTAGAGCTCTTATCACAATGCTAATGCTATAAGGGCA